AATGTTGGGAATATTTTTGGGAATGTTGTTGGGAACGCTGTTGGGAATGCTGTTGGGAATGTTGTTGGGAATGTTGGGAATGTTGGGAATATTTTTGGGAATGCTGTTGTGGATGCTGTTGGGAATGTTGTTGGGAATGTTGTGGATGTTGTTGGGAACGCTGTTGTGGACGCTGTTGGGAACGCTGTTGGGAATGTTGTTGGGAATGTTGGGAATGTTGTTGGGAACGCTGTTGGGAATGTTGGGAATGTTGTTGGGAATGTTGTTGGGAACGCTGTTGGGAATGTTGTTGGGAATGTTGTTGGGAATATTTTTGGGAATGTTGTTGGGAACGCTGTTGGGAACGCTGTTGGGAATGTTGTTGGGAATGTTGTTGGGAATGTTGGGAATATTTTTGGGAATGTTGTTGGGAACGCTGTTGGGAACGCTGTTGGGAATATTTTTGGGAATGTTGGGAACGCTGTTGGGAATGTTGTTGGGAATGTTGGGAATGTTGTTGTGGACGCTGTTGGTAACGGCCCGGCTGTCCCGCAGGCAGCGAGATCGACTGCGCCGATCGCTTTGGGAACACCCCCCTGCACGTGGCCGCCCGCTACGGACACGAACTGCTCATCAGCACCTTGATGACCAACGGCGCCGACACGGCCAGGTGAGACACGGGTATGGACAGGTGAGACACCGGTATGGACAGGTGAGACACGGGTACAGACAGGTGAGACACTGTGGACAGGTGAGACACGGGTATGGACAGGGGAGACACCGGTATGGACAGGTGAGACACGGGTATGGACAGGTGAGACACGGGTATGGACAGGTGAGACACGGGTACGGACAGGTGAGACACTGTGGACAGGTGAGACACCATGGACAGGTGAGACACCATGGACAGGTGAGACACGGGTATGGACAGGTGAGACACGGGTACAGACAGGTGAGACACTGTGGACAGGTGAGACATGGACAGGTGAGACACCATGGACAGGTGAGACACGGGTACGGACAGGTGAGACACCATGGACAGGTGAGACACCGGTATGGACAGGTGAGACACGGGTACAGACAGGTGAGACACGGGTACAGACAGGTGAGACACCAGTATGGACAGGTGAGACACCGGTATGGACAGGTGAGACACCATGGACAGGTGAGACACCATGGACAGGTGAGACACTGTGGACAGGTGAGACATGGACAGGTGAGACACCATGGACAGGTGACACTATGGACAGGTGAGACACCGCAGACAGGTGACACCATAGACAGGTGAGACACTATGGACAGGTGACACTGTGGACAGGTGAGACACTGTGGACAGGTGACACTATGGCCAGGTGAGACACCGTGGACAGGTGAGACACAATGGACAGGTGGGACATGGACAGGTGACACTATGGACAGGTAACACTGTGGACAGGTGACACTGTGGACAGGTGACACTGTGGACAGGTGAGACATGGACAGGTGAGACACTATGGACAGGTGACACTGCGGACAGGTGAGACACTATGGACAGGTGGGACATGGACAGGTGAGACACCATGGACAGGTGACACTGCGGACAGGTGGGACATGGACAGGTGACACTATGGACAGGTGACACTGTGGACAGGTGACACTATGGACAGGTGACACTGTGGACAGGTGAGACATGGACAGGTGAGACACTATGGACAGGTGAGACATGGACAGGTGAGACACGGGTCCTGGCAGGTGAGACACGGGTCGTGGCAGGTGAGGCACAGGTCCTGGCAGGTGAGGCACAGGTCCTGGCAGGGAGCACGGCATGGTGCTGCAGGTTCTGGAAGGGAACACAGAGAGACCTGGGAGGGTCCTGGAAGAGTTCTGGGATTTTCCTGGAGTTTTCCTGGGATTTTGATTGGAATTTGCTGGAAT